GCCATATCCAAACGAGACGACCTAAGGTTCGAACTTGAGTCCATTTCCGAGTTACGGAAACAACACTAAGTCGCGGTTTCACGCTCCATCGACTGTGGCTGGCAGCATTCAAAGTCAAATAGAAGTTAAGCTCACTGATATATCCTGAATGAAGGACGGTGGGTTTGTTTGTCATTTGTTTTGGACCTCCAGTCTAGAACTATCAAATGTGTCAAACAGGAATTGGGCCGTACTACCGACCAGCATAGTGTACTTCGGTGACTGTTTCTGGCTTATTCGTCGTTGTCATTTAGCTAGATGGGAGGGAACCACAGCAGACGCGTCTCCGTCGCGTTCCCACCCACCCTTACGGCGGCCAATGTCTGTTAAACCAAACCTCCCTACGGTGGATCTATCTCTCCTCCTCTGCATCTGTTTTTTGATGACAGAGCAGCCCCTCCCGACTATGCTGCTCCGATTCCTCCTCCTCCTCGCCGCCGGGATTAAGGTCCACCCGGCGGGGCTCCGGATCCAACAAGGGCTACTAGCCAGCCAGCTAGATGGGTTAGCAAGCACTACGCCCCTGTTGATTTGAATGTCCTCGGTCACATTCAGCTGGATTAGAGCTCATGGTGAAACGTATACCTCGATTACCAACTGAAGGCCTCCGTCCTACCCCGTTAGCCTTCTATACGTGGCTGATAGGTAAGACGCGAATGGCTAGTTCATTGCCCCCTGTCTCGATCGACAATACTCCTCGATTATAGATTGTCTGTCGCTATGCGATCGCCTACAGGAACTATGGGCCAGAGGTCCATGATCAACCGGGAGTCTTACTTTCGTCCTGTAATCAGTATGCACCTTGTAACTGCAATCTCCATACAACCTTTGGTAATAGTTCCTCTTATGGCCGCCCAATGGCAAAAGTCTCCCCTTCCAAATGTCATAGGGTATTCGTCGTTAAAAGGAAGAGAAGGGGTGGGGAACGCCAAAGGCTGTATAAGTGCGTGATAAATGCGAAATAAGAAGGAAGTTAAAGCCGCCCTTATTCCTTTTAATGAACTAAACTGTGGATAAAAGAGGTTGCGGAAAGGACAAAAAGACTGAAAAGAAAGCCCATGGACAAATAAAACTATTAGAGCAACTCCCATTGGTTAACATAGTCAAGTAAGTGTTTGGATACGCGAAATTCGACCTACTTAAAAGTTGAAAGTAGGTTTTAATTATCGAATAGCCCTGGAGACGGCTATACAAACAACTCTCACCCAATCTTCTGAAGCACACCTCATTTTTACCTTATTTTTGAGTTACTGAAATGCTACCCAACGACCTCTGACTAGGAAATGTCTGGTGGCTTGTGACGGTTTTATCTGGATGCACTGTACTATTTTCACACACCTTCCAGCATCCATGTTACTTTGTCCTTTGGCAAACTACGTTGAGTTTACACATTTAAACTTGAGCTGTTTACTAAAAAGTCAGGTATTTTAAAGTTCTAATAGTGCGTTCTTTCGCCCTCAGTTGAAAGTTTATTGTGCCATTTTGCTGCCCAGAAATTGTATGATAACTTACAACTTCTACAAATAATTAAATGACAGATGTCACAAGAAGACTAAAAGGAGTCACCTTTTTCAGTTTGTTATGCATCTGTTTGTCTCTTTTAGAGGAATTTGTGGTGGGCAGCAAGGAGCATCTCATATCAGTGGATGCAGTCGAGGCTCTCTCCTTCGTACTCGAGGGAACTATGGACCAGATGAAGTAGGATTTCCTTATTTTCCATGCTTTTTGTTAAGTTCCATTCGTCCAGTGAAGGACATAATCTTCGACCCAACCGTTCTGTCAAAGACGGGTTACAATAGCGTAAGTCGTTTTGAGTTGAGCCACTGCTAGTGCGCCATTTCTCTCTCTTTCTCATCTGTCGTCCCTTTCTCATGCCTCTTTCTTGTTTCCTCCCCGTGCCCCAAGTCCACACGTACATTTGGTATACGCAGTCTTCAGTCCTGGATTCGGTCTTGCCTTATCCAAAATCCCTTTACTGCGGAATCCTGTATCCTGCGAGGCACACGACTGCAGTGGACCCTGCCGGGCGCTAGTGGAAGAGAGAATTCCAGTGGTTCTGCGCCTCACACTCCAACAAGACGCCAGCGTATTGCCACAAATGCAGCTCATATTCCGCCCACAACGGGCCTCCGAGGGTGAGTTACCCAACCGGTTCTTTGCCCTGCTTCCTGTCTTCTTCTGCTTTGTAGCCTTTTCAGCATAGTCTCGTCAACTTTTGTTTCTTTTTAAACCTGACAGTTGGCTTTTTGCCTTTTTACGTTCTGGATTGCCTTTTCATTTGGGACTTTTTCATGATAAGGGATGCCGCGTCGGCGGCTTTTTATTTAAAATCCCTAGAGC